ACATTATCAAGGGTTCATGAGGGAGGGTGGGAGGGGGAGAAAATGAGCTGATGCCAAGGGCTCAAGCAGAAATAAAATGTTTTGAGAATGACGATGGCAACAAATGTCCAAATGTGCTTGACACAATGGTTGTATGTATGTATTATGATAACAGCTGTATGAGCCCCCAATAAAATGATTTTTTAAAATTGTGCTCTACAACAAAGAAAATGAAAAAGAAAATTTGCAAAATGGGAGAAAATGTTTATAAAACACACACCTGACTACATTTTTTGTTCCAGGACACATAAAGGACTATTCTGACAAGTCAATACTAAGATTAACAACGTAATAAAAATGGATAATCTAAACAGACATTTCATCAGAGAAGAGAGATGAATGGTAAAGGAACACATGAAAAGATACTTAACACCATGAATATTTAAGCGTATACAAATAAATGCGCAAGGAGATACCTCCACACTTGTATACCAGTTGCCTTCGAGTGGATCTCATCTCACGGCAGCCTCACATGCATCAGAGTAGAACTGTGCTCCATAGTGATTTCAATCCTGGGAAGGTTCCAAAGTTATAAGTCAACTGGTATTTTGTGGGGTTTTTTGGAAGTAGATGACCAGGCCTTTCTTCTGAGATGTCTCTGAGTAGCCTCATACCCCTAACCTGTCAGTTAACAGCTGTGGGTTAACTGTGTGTACCACCTATGAACTCCAAGGCATTAGGCACAGGAGTTAGATATTGACAAGTAATTGTAATACATATATATTTACACATTTATATACATAGCTACAAAATATCAGAGAATCCAGCAACTTTGTAAGAATGGCTAATGTTAAAAACAAACAAAAATCTGACCATATCATTTGTTGACAGTGGTGCACAGCAACTGGCTCTCTCATACGCTGTTAATGAAAATATAAAATGCCACATCTAGTTTAGGAAAGTTTGGCAGGTCGTTATAGAGTAAAACATATGCTTACTAAACACCCCAGAAACGCCAGCCGTAAGCATTTACCTAAGAAGCCCTGGTGATACACTTAGTTAAGTGTTGGGCTGCTAAATTCAAGGTCAATGGCTCAACCCATCAGTCGCTCTGCTCTGCTTTTCAAGAAAAAGATGGTCTGCTTTTGTAAAACTGTACAGATTCCAAACCCTTTGGAGAAGTTCTACTCTGTTCTATAGGGTCACTAAGGGTCAGAATCCACTGACATTTTTTGCGTGGCGAGAAAGAAAAACTTATGTACAAAGACCTGCTCTGTAATGTTTATAAAAGTGTTATTCATAGTTATCCCAAAAGAAACTCTGCCAGTGAATGCAACATCCACATAATTAATACCCCTCAGCTTTAAGAATGAATCAACTACTGATACATGAAATAACACAGATGAATATGAAAGAATTCTACTAAATGAAAAAAAAAAAAAGTAAAAAACTACTTCTAACTCATATGGGTGCTCTGTGGGCTTTTGTGAGACTGATTCTTGGTAGGAGCCGACAGCTCTCAATGAATTCTAGCCTCAATCTTACAACAGTTGGTTCTTATGACATGCCCCTGTTTGTTCACCTTCCTCTGAAGAGCACTGAAGATCTGGGTGCTATAGCAAAGTGTGGTGAAGAAACGATATGGTGCCTAGCTATCAGAAAGAATAACATCTGGTTATTCAAACAAGCAGCCATCTAAGTGAGGCATCAACTAAATCTACATGGAAGAGGAAACAAACATGGCCACACAATCAGAGTCTGTCTTAATTCCTCTCAACAAAAACTTGTGGAGCAGTAGAAAGATTGTAGCAGCCTGAGTTCCAGACCCCCTCTGCGTAAAGGGAACAACTGAGGGAGGTACCACAAGGAGAAACTGACTAAAAAGCTCTTGGAAAAGGGGGTGGAAAGCCTTGGATTCTGTTTGGAAAGCTTTGGATTCTGTTTCGCCCTGGCTAGGCTCTGTTTATAGATACCAGCTTCTCTGGACCACAGGAGTGAGAACAAAGCTCTCTTCCCTGCTAATCAACTGCACACCCCCAGCATACTTGAGGAGAAGTTGAGTGGGAAACGTGGGCTGGAGGTATCCAGTCCAGGCTTCTGAGTCCCAGGACTGGGAGGATTCTGACTTACTCATTCCAATTGGTGTAGAATACAGCAGACACGTATTAGGGGAAATGGTTGGCTAAGTAAGTGGGTGAGTGTTTCCCAGGGGGCCCAGGATCAGAGTACTAACACATGCCAGCGCACAGGCCTATGCCCCAAGTAATTGGCCTCAACACCTACAGACCCCAAAGCAGGAGATGGTTTTGAAGACAAATGTTGGCAACCAAGAATCCTATATCCAAAAAAACTATCCCTCAAATATAAGGGGGAAATAAAAACGTTTACAGACAAGGGAACATGAAAGGCATTTATAAAAAACATAAGCACCGGGTGGCCTCCAGGGGCCAAGGGCAGGTGGATCGGTTGGGAAGGTAGGGGGCAGGGCGCAGCCAGGCCAGGCCCCAGGGCTCCACATGCTGCAGCTGTTCCCAGGTATCCTAGCCGCCACCGAGCCCCCAGCCGTGGAGCTGAGCTGACCAGAGCCCGTGAGCTAACCAGATCCAGTGGTCCGGAGCCAGCTGGCAGATGGGCGGCTGGAGTAAGCAGCGGCTCAGAGAAGGGCCCGGCGCTCATACGTGGCCCCAGCAACACCATGGTGGATAGCGGCCCCGCGCGAGGTGCTGCATTGGCAGCTCTGGTGCCCGGACCAGGCAGTGGCGACCCAGGGCCTTATGTCTACTTTCAGGGGAGGGCCTAGGTCATGGGAACCACGAAGGCCTTGTGAGGCGCCAAGGGAAGCTCACCGTCAAGTATGACCGCCAGGAGCCTCAACCTGGAGGAGTGGATCCTGGAGCAGCTCACGCGCCTCTACAACTGTCTGGAAAAGGAGATCCTCGAGCTGGAGATTGACGTAGATGAGCTGCTAGACATGGAGAGTGACGACACCAGTGCAGCCAGGGTCAAGGAGTTGCTGGTTGACTGTTAACAGACCCACTGAGACCTTCATCTCTGGCCGCAGCACAACATCCGGGGCTTGCAGAACCTGAGCGCCCCCCCAGAGGAAGTGAAAGGTTGACTCCCACAGCACAATCACTGCCCCCTTACGTCATTGCAACAGCAAAATACCCAGGGGGCCCTGCGGCTGGGCTTGGTGCCGTGTGCAGGGCTCCCCGAGCCCCTGGACTAGGGACCTCTTCCCTTGGCCCCGCGTTTTCCATTTTTGGGATTTTTTATCATTATTTAATGGACGGGACTTTTTGTATTTTTATATTGACTGCAGTGCGGGCCCTTGAATAAAGCTAGGATATGCCTTTGGTGCAACAAAACAAAACAAAAACATAAGCACTTTTACAAAAAATATTAAAAGAAATTCTATGGACAGAAAATCTGTAACAGAAAGCAACCTAAAAATATAATCATTGTGGAGAAAATATTCTACTGAAGCAATACTAAAATTGTGAACACCCAATTTGTGGAAGGCTGTGGAGGACAGTAGGAGCTCAAAACCCATTTGCAGAGTATCTAGTCAGATTCAGTTTTGGGCATATCCCCTCTAGCCTCAGTCAAAGGTCTGGAACAACCTTACTAGTAAACATAGATCACTGTAATCCTGATTATGCTTGATCAGACCTGATAATGGGTCAATTGACCTCCCTCTAGATCCAACCTGAAATTGTTCTAGGTACAAGCATCTCTTGCTTGTTCCATGACAAAACGTTCTACCCTGGCTTTTTAAATATGGATGGTAGTCTTTTCTTTTTCATTCATTGTTTGCATTTTTTTACTTTATATTACTATTGCCTTATCCTTATCATGTTATTTCATTTTTGTTCTTTACTATTTCTGTTGGGCTTACCAGTTTGTGAAGTACAAAAGGATTGGATGCATAGAGATAAAAACTGATGCAAGGGTTTGTAGGGGATTGGGTGGGGGGAGAGAATGAAGGTGGGAACTGAATAGGATTACACCACTCGTTTTAAAGGCTATTTAATCTTGGGGAAATAAAGAAAAATATTCAAAAATTGATCATGGTAATGATTGTACAATTCTTGATATGATTGAATGATTTAATTGTATGATATATGGATTATATTCCAATCGAATTGTGAAAAATTGTATCCTAACAAACTTGTATTTTTAGAAGAAATGTATACATTTCTAGAAATGTGTTATTTTCAAAAATTACCACTGAATGATGTAGAAAATCTCAACAAGCTTATAACACAAGAAGAAATAGATCAAGTCATAAAAAACTTCCAACATCATAAAATCTGATCTACTAACAACATTTATGCACAACAAAAGAGTAATAATAGATCAGATAAAAGGGCTAATCTCCAAAATCTATAGAAATCTATGACAAATTAACAAGAAAAATACAAAAAATCCATTCAAAGAATGAGCACAAGACCATTTACCAAAGACAACATCCAGGTAGCCAACAACTATGTGAAGAAATGTTCGATATCATTAGCAATAAGAGAACACAAATTTAAATAATGTGCTATTACCTCACACCAACCCTTTTGGCAAAATTTAATTAAACAGAAAATAACAAATACTGCAGAGCATATGAAGAGATAAGAACAATTTTATATCACTGATGGGACTGTAGAATTATACAAGTATGGAAATCAGTATAGCACTTCTTTAAACAAATGCTAATCCAAGTATACTTATGATATCTCTACTGGGTATATACACATTAAAAAAATTAAGAATATCCCATGAACAGACATATGTACATTTGCGTTTACTGCAGCAATTTTCACAATAGCAAAGCAATGAAAACAACCATAAAATCCCAATTATAGGAGAATAGATAAACAAGCTCTGGTACATTCATACTATGGAAATTTATGCATCAATAACAAATCAACTCTCTTAAACACCGCAAGACATGGACAAAACTAGCGAATATTATGCTTAGCAAACTCAGTCAACATTACAAAGAGAAATATTTAATATCACCATAGTAATAAGGAAAAACAAGAAAAAATTTAGTTTATACACCAATAGACAAGACTTTGATGACTATGAGGAAGCCAGGGGAGGGAAGGGGAACAGGGAATGAGTAGGGTTGCAGTGATAAAATATATATATATAGAAAAATATATATATGGATAGAGAGAGAGGGTTTCATAGGAAAATAAATAGATAAATAAATAAATTGCTCCATCAAAAAACAGAAAGAGAAAACCCTCTAGATTCCTTACCCCTCAGATCTAAATATTGGACTGAGTGGCTAAAAAAGGAGGAAAAGTTAAACTGAAATGGACTTGTCTTAGGTGACATACATGTTTGTTTCAAACATATGGAGAGAAAAATAGTTCACATTGAAAAAGCACAGCAGCTTGTGTGATCCAAGGATTAAAAAAAATAAAATCCATATCCAAATCAGGGAATGATATCAGAGTTTAAATTGTGAATGCTTTATTTTGGGGTTACGGATGACAGTGGAAGCCCAGAATCCATTTGCAGGGTCCACGCAGAGAGTAAGCCTCAGGTGCAACCTCTCTGATCACAGTCAAAAGACGTGACTGTCCCTGTTATCAGACAGAGAACACTATACAATAGATTATGGTAGATATAGTTAGGTTGAAAGTTAATATCTTATTTGGTCTCCCTTTTGATCCATTTACAGGTTGTTTTAGTTTTTTTTTAAAAGTGAAGGGAAAATATACCTGGATTACGTCTCCTGGAAAGCGCCTTTGACCACCGAGGAGGGACTAAATAGTCCTGCTGCCATGAAGAGTGCATTAGAAAGTGGATTGTGGCAGATGCAGTGAGGTTAACATTTAACACCTTATCATTTGAGCTCCCTTTTGACCCGTTTTAAAGTTGTTCTAGTTTTTCAATTTTTTCTGATTGAAATTTTTCTCTTTTACTTTATTGTTGTTAGGGTAACTTTTTTTTTGGGGGGGGGTATATTTTTCTATATACGAAATCCTGTATAGGTAGATCTATAGAGACGGTAACTGAAGTAATGGTTTCCTGGGCGTTATAGCAGGGGAGGTAGGGGGTAATTGGGGATCTCATAACAATGGGGATAAGGAAGAAGAAAATTTTCTAAAATGATTGTGGTAGTGATTATACAAATCTTCTTAATATGATTGAACTGTTGAATTCTATAATATGTGGGTTATGTGCCAATAATGTTTTTTAAAAGTAAATCAGGCAGTCATTGTGGTTGGGGATTTTTTTTTTAATTCAGGAAAAGAGGAGTCATTTTATAAAATTTCAATGTTTAGTCACTATTATGGATGCTACATATTAAAGAATGAATGTGGAGCATGTTTTAGGAAAAGGGTTGGAATTTACATCGTGGAAAGCACTTATGCTTTTTAAATATTTCAGTACTTTTGGGTTTTGGAAGGCATATTCTAGAGGAATCTTCTTTTAGCTTTTTTAAAAGATACAGATACTGGGATATGTGTCTCCTGATCCGAACAATGCGATGACCTCATTAAAATGATAAGCTTAGGAGTCAGAGATTTGGAAAGCTGTCGTAGCCACCTATTGAGTAATGTAGCTATCACGGATTTCTTGAGAGTTATGTAGTTGGCTGGAGCTTGCAAATCTTCCTCAGGCAGACATTATTATACTAGTTTGCATAATTTCTTTTATAGAGACTTAACAAGTTAAATTATTTCCCAACAGTAGAATCGTTTAATTTAAAATGCTACAGCTGAAAAGCAGGAAGCTAAATAAGATATTCCCTGAGGTCTCAATGTGTTGTTAACATAAAACATTTCATTATTGGAAGTCTAACCCGGTGTCTGGTAGAGCCAGAGCCTTTTCCAGCAGAGCCTTTATCCCAACAATGTGCTCCTGAAGTGTCACTGCTTTTCTGGAGCCCGACTGACAACGCACATGCAGACGATCTGCTTATAGGAACCTCTGAGATTAACCTAGGCCAGTGGTTCTCAACCTTCCTCATGCTGCGACCCTTTAATACAGTTCCTCGTGATGTGCTGACCCCCAACCACAACAGTATTTTCGTTGCTACTTCATCATTGTAATTTTGCTACTGTGATGAATCGGGCGACCCTTGTGAAAGGGTTGTTCGACCTCCAGAGGGGTTGAGACCCACAGGTAGAGAACCGCTGACCTAGGCTATCCAAAGAGAAGATATACAGGGCTCTGGAACACAGGGCTTGGGGGACACTGAAGTCAATTGGCATAAGATAGTTCACAAAGATAATGTTCTACATTCTGCTTTAGTTTATAAAGACTGGGGTCTTCAAAGTATATGAGAAGCCATCTAAAGGTGCAACTATTGGCCTCTTCTTTGCTGACTGGAGGAAAGGAGAGTGATGACAATCAAAGTCACCTGGAAATAATTAGTCCAATGAACCATGGGAACTTTCCATCAGTCTCTACAACCCTGAGACAAGAACTAGACGGTGCCCAGTTACCACTGTAAATTGCTCTGAACAGAATCACATTAGAATGGATCAGGATAGAGTAGGAGGGCAAAAAGGTGGAACTGAACCCAAAACCACAAAAGAGATCAGGCTTACCGGTCAGGTAGGGCAAAGCAGAAGCCCGAGACGATGGCCCTGAATCACTCTGCAGGCATGCAGTGACCCCCCCAGCCAAAATATGTACAGGTCTAAGAGAGAAACAATAACACTACGGAGGTGTGTGCACCGTAGAATAATCAACCATCTGAGAATTTTAAAAGACAGCATTTAGCCCAAATCAAAGTTCAAGAAGATTAGGAGAGAAGGAAGAATAAGAACGGGAAACACAGGGCGGAAGCAGTGTAAGTGATATGAAACACTGAAGAGGTTGCAACAATGAGCTAAAACAAAATGTATATCCATTGTTGAGTGGAAAGACCAATGGTCTACTCGTTAAGACTTTCCTTACTTTACAAAATAAATTCCTTTTCCCCCCCAAAAATCAAACCAAAGAGGAAGTAAGAAAGAAAACAAAAACAATTAACTGGAAAAGGCGTGTAGTAGTAGTTAAGGTTTTATGTCAATTTAACAGGGCCAAGATGCTCACTGGTTTGGCTGCTAACATACAGTTATCCCTTGTGACCTGATCAAACAGTGTAATCACAGCCAAGCAGTTGTAAGCTTCCATAATGGGATAAGGTTACGGTGGAATTTAATATCCTTACTCAGGTCACAGCCTTTATCCAATTAATTACCTTGAACTTGTGGCCAGATTCCGATATAAGTGGACACTATGGGAAAGTTTTCTTGCTCTTTGCTTGGTTTGAATAACGTATCTAGCTCGAGGACCTCAGGTTCTTTGAACTTGAGCAAACAGTCTGTCATATTGCCTGCCAAGCCAGACAGTACTCAATAACCTGCTAGCTGCCACCAATTACCTCTGCAGCCTCTTGTCTTCCTGCCAACCTTGGGCAATTAGGCAAAGTGGGAGAAACCTACAGCTTCTCACCCATGAATATGGAATCTGCCTGGAACTGGACTTTCTGGCTTCTACAACTGGGTAAGCCATTTGCTAGATGCAACAGAAGCTTCCTTACTTTTGCTTCTCTAGCGAACCCAGCCTAAGACAAGGCATAGAAAAATGTCCCTACCCAAACTCTGGAAGGCATGTCTTTCTGAAACACAGGACTCAGACAAAATTTCACCCACAATATAGATGCCATAATTATTTTCCAGGAATGCTATTTGGTTCATTTGAAATTATCTTTCTCAATAAAAGTATGAGGTAGAACAGGAGATGGTGGAGTAATAATTGCTTTGTGTCTACTTTCAACCAGATTTTGATGTTTTCTGTTTGAACCCTCCCATCAGTTTTCATAAAAGGCTTTTTCTGTGATACACATGGAATTTTTTTCAATGAAATCATAATCACACCTTACATGGTGTCTCAAACTCTGTTGTTGTAAGTTGTTTCATTATTTTGTCATTCATAAAAATGGTTTCCAGAACGCAGTGCACTGTGATGTGCATGCTCAGCAGTTCAAAATCACCAGGGGCTCCGTGGGAGAAAAACTGGGTTTTCTACTCCTGTAAACAGTTTTAGCCTCAGAAATGCACAGGAGGTCGCTGGAAGTCAGCACTGACGCGATGGCAGGGAGTTTGGTTTTGAGAGAGACACTGTTTGGACAGACACTCTTGTGACCAGAGACAGGATTAGAGCCTGTCACTACCAAGTTCCTCTTATGTGAGAAGTACATGCTCAAAATGTTGAGTTTAGTTATATGTTACCCAAAAAAGAAATATTTCTTCTTCAATGTGCCTGATAATTTAGTAAATCTCCATAAACAAATAAAACTCCCACACTCATTGTCATCAAGTTGATGCTGACTCTTAGCAACCCTGTAGGACAGCTTAGAACTGCCCCTGTGGCTTTCTGAGAATGTAACTGTTCACAGGAGTAGAAAGCCCAAACTTTCTCCCATGGAGTGGTTAGTGGTTTCAATCTTGTGGATAGCAGCCCAATTTGTTTTTTCTTTTTTTTTTTTGGGGGGGGGTGTCACCATGGTTACTGAAAATTTAGAAGATACAAAATGAAAGCGATACTCTGCAAATTCAGAAAAACCTCATTGCCATTCCAACTCATAGCGACCCCATGGGACAGGGTAGAAGTGGCCCCATGAATTGCTGAGAATGTATCTCTTTATGGGAGTAGGAAGCCTGGCCTTTCTCCTGCAGAGCAGCTGGTGATTTTGAACTGCTGACCACGCAGTCCAACACATAACCACGATGCCACCAGGATTCCTATATAGGTATATAGGTATGAATATAAGGAGCCCTGGTGCTATGAGTTAGGGTCACTGAGTTGGAAATAACTCAATAGCTGTGGGTTTTATGTGTGTGTGTGTGTGTGTGTGTGTGCATGTGCTATATATGTATATACCACCTACACACAACATACATATATGCCATATAAGCATACATACCATATACACACATTTCCATACATACATATATGTACACATGCACATATATGCTACATATATATACTCATATATACACAAGAGGCCTTCAAAAATTTTTAGAATAATGAAATGAAAAGATAATTGGACTTTTCCACAAACTTTCTAAAGCCCCCTCATTTATATTTTTTGTATATGTGTGTAAATGCATGTTTGTACATAATTTCAATCTAGCATATTTTACTCTGTTCAAATGCATTGCGTGAATATCTTTCCACATCACTAAGTATTTTCTTATGATTTAAAAAATGAATCCTTTTACGTGTTTTCCCACCAAATGTACAATATTTCACCTCAATCTTTTGTTGATAGTTAAAAATGACTAAGTTTGTATTCATGAATACTTTAAAATATGGTAAATCTTCTCCTGTCTCACAACCATACAAATATTCCTATTAATAACAACAAATCAAAGAGGAACAAAACCCTCACTGTTATTGAATCCAGGGGCAGTTCTACCCTGTCCTATAGGGTCGCTGAGTCAGCATCGACTCCATGGCAGTGACTCTGGTTTGGAGTTTGCTCATTGAGTCAAACTGCCCCATGAGAATCTGAGACAGTAACTCTTTATGGGACTAGAGAGCCTCGTCTTTCTCCCGCACAATGGTTGGTGGCTTCAAACTGACTTTTCGGATCGCAGTTCAACAAGTAACTAGTATGCCACCAGGGCTCCTTATTACTAGATAGGCTTATATGTTTTTAGTTGTTTTTTTCACACTGTAGTAATACACATAATACTTTATCTTAAATGGCCTCCTAGCTTGCATGCCATTCTGCAATTCGCCAGCAACCCCTTCCCAAGCACCTTTTCAAATCACTACAGGTTCATGATTCTATGTACCAGTCCACAGTATTCTGTTGTATGGCTGTCCCGTGTATTTTAAAAACAGCTTTTGGAAGTAAATTAAATCTTCTTTCTGTCTTTTTCTAAAACTGTGAAGATACAGAAAAAAACCCAAAACCGATTCTTGCAATCCAAGGCCATACCTGTGGCTGGAAAGTCTGACTTGCAAGGACTCCAGCAGGGTTGGAAGTGACACAGCCACCTAACAGTTTAATTCAAGAAAAATTCCACGAGGGACAAAAGACGAGGGGGTATGTATGCACGTGTCCGTGTCTATGTGTGATTTTGTGTCTGAAACAAAATGGGGGCACTGTTTCATATTCATTTTGCTCTTCTAATTATAAAAATGATAATGAAGTAATGAAGTTCTGAAAGTCGTGAAACCAACATGTATATGTACATCTACACATTATTTACACACACACACACACACACACACACACAGACCCACTCAGATCTTGAGCACTAACAGGAATCTATTTCCCTTCACAAGGAAACAAATGTATACATATATTTACAAGTATTCTCACTCCACGACACCTTTGAATCGCTTTCCATGTTCACGTACATTTACAGTAATGTATGTATATGTCAATCACTTTATGTTTACATTTTCCTACAAGTTAATTTTTATGTAGCTTAATGAATACTTAAGTAAAAATATAATAAAATCTGTAATGAAGCTAGAAACATGGAACACTAAGCAAAAAAAATCGCATGAACAGCCACGCTTCACTGAAATCTTAATTTGCAAGCTGTAATCTGATCTCCCATTCCCTGACCATGGACTTTAAAAATATCGAGAGAAACAAAAATTTCAAGGAATTCCATCACTATAACAGCTATTTCCCCTAAACCATATTCCATCCCCACCACTCCAAGTCAGCAATTTCTATCGTTGTTTTTTTTTCCGTTTCACTTTCACGTGAAATCCCCAAAGAAATCCCCCCCAAAATAACTAGGTTTGAGACAGCCATTACCTTGAAGCTTCTTGTCAGCTGCAGCCTCCCGACAGATGCAACCCCTCCCCCAGACTGGCCAGGCTCTGCTCTCTTCCAGACTTCTCCGGGGATGCTCCGCCCCTCCCTGTGTGGGGAAAGCAGGAGGGCCTTTCCCTCAATTCAAGGGTGGGAGAATCACCAAGTTAAACTGAAATGCACTCTACCAGGAAGAAAGGATCATTTTTAAATAACTTCAAGTGTCACTTTCATTTCCATTGAACCCCCCGAAAACCCAAACCACTGTGCTCCAGTTGATTCGCATTTATAGCTAGCTACCCTTAAGGACTGAGGAGAACTGTCCTATAAGGTTTCGAACGCTGTGTATCTTTACAGAAGCAGAGTATCACCTTTGTCTTCTGTAGAACAGTTGGTGGGTTCCAACTGCCCCTCTTTAGGTTCGCACGATTACACAAACACCTATACAAACTGCGAACCCAAAGCAAACCATCCAAACTCACTGCCACAAGTCCATTCTGACTCAGAGACCCTCTAGGACAGGGTGGAACGGCTTCTGTGCGTTTCAGAGCTTGCAAATCCTTTTTTCCGTGTCTCAGCTGGTAGTTTCAAATGGCTGACCTACACATGGACTTAGCAGCCCAACGTATAACTACTATGCCACTAAAGATTGAGTTAATTCCTCCAAACAAGAAGTAGCAAATCCCTTTATCATATAATAAGGATTTTAAGAAATGATTCTAAAACCTAGTTGATCAAATTCCATTTAAAAAGACCCATGAGGACCTGTTTTGTGATCACTGTGAACTAGACATTATTTTGGAAAGAATTATAATTTTTGTTTTTCAGGCCCTGGGACATGCTAGGTCTCTCCTTTAGCGAGTTAATTTCATTCATCTAGTAGAAAATTTCAAAGGATTTTTAACTAAAGTATTTTCTAAAGATAAACATCAACTGTAATCCTTAGGAAAAGAGGTATATAACTAAATCTATCTAAACTGGAAAAAAAACCCAAACAAACAAAACCCATACCTCTCTATTGTAAAAACACAAGAAGCTAAAGTTGAAAATAAGAGATCCTGACAAAACTGGCATCAATAGTAAAACATCTCTAACCTGAATTAGCTGTATGAATTCAGTAATAAATAAACAATAAAGGAAAAGGGGGGAGGGGAACATAAACAAGCATTTCACAGTGTTCTGAGGGATTTATCGCCCTTACACTTTATATTTTTTCTCCTTTGAAACAAGTTCATTCAGTTAAAACACAGTTATATCTCTCTTTTTTTTTACAGGGCTGCAAGCTTCTAAGATGTTTGGGCAATTTTGCTTAAATCTAGGATCTATTTGACTTGCAATAGGTATCAACATCCTGTAATTTACTTTCCCTTCAATAAAGCTGACATTCTGGCTCCATTTGAAATTTCATTTCAAAACACATCAATTTGTTCAATGAAAAAAATGAAATCTTATTTATTGAGGCTCCTCAAAACACAGACATTCAAAATTAAAACTAACTAACCCATAAAAAAAATCTTAACCTCCTCAAACAATCAAAGAGAGGTAAATATATACAGGAATACGATCCTATTTTCCTATCTAATTATATTGATAAAGAAGTTGAAAATGTTATAGTGTACAATTGCCAATGGATTGAGGAAACACAAACTCTCTCTCATGCCCAGGGTCTCAAAGTTGGGATGAGGGCAAAGCACAAAGCCCATCACAACCCCTGCCCATCAGTGCTCACTGCCTTCTAGACTTCGACTTCAAAATAGAACCAAAGACGGCAGCATTTACCTTCATGTTATGAGGAAAGTGGTAAACATAAACCCAGATTGGTGCTCTTCAGGAACGACCATAGTTAACCATTTACTCTCTCCATCTTTGTCACAGATCTAAAAATATTTTTTTCTGCATTATGCGTCTGCCTTTACAGTAACATTCACTTGGCTATAGAGAAGTCTCGTTGGTGCTGCAGGAATCTGGCCCTGCCTTCCCTTTCTGAACAATTCCTGAACAGGAACTAACATAATTTGTTATGCGGAGAAGTATCAATTTCACTACATGCCCTGGTGGCACAGTGGTTACGCGCCGGCCTGCTAACTGCCAACCAGGCACTCCTCAGGAGAAAGATCATGCTTTCTGTCCCATGAAAAGTCATAGCCTTGGAGACCCACAGGGGCAGCTCTGTGGTGTCCCAGAAGGTCGCTATGAGTCAGAATCAGCTAAGTAGCACTGAGTGGTTTTAGTTCGGTTTATAACAATTGGCTCTCTCTTGTTCTTATCCTTTGTTAGCAATTAGCAAGTCAATATGGGAAAATCATATTTCCATACTCATTGATCAAACTTTTTGTTCAAAAATAAGCAAGAAATTAAGATTCAAATTTGCATTCTGCTTGCCTTTTAATGTATAGGTGCTATACCCTCAACGACATGGACTGACACAGAAGCTGCCAGCAATGGGCCCAAACATAACAACTGTGAGGATGCCCAGGGTTGGGCAGTATTTCTTCCTGTTGTACACAGGTTGCTTGGAGTTGGAACTAATTTAACCCAAACCAACAAGTTTAAACATAAAAACATCATAAAATATTAAGTTTTCGCCCTTAACTATGTCCTCAACTATGATGAGGACCCCATAACCCCATGATCACAATGCCCAGGTAAACTCTCTGGCTTCACTCGTTAGAGAAACCAAGCCACACTCTGACACAGCTCTTCCTGGGATTAACAGCAAGAAACAAAATGGCCTGTATTGGGGAAATGAAGCCATTACTCTGTGAAAGCATAGCAGGAAGATTTATTTCATTAACCAATCTGGGTCAGAATTATTCCATTAACCAATCAGAATAAAAAACGGCAAAGGTTCTTTGATGAGGCAGTACGGATTTCTATTGTTAGAACCCAATGCCTAACTTGTGAGAGTTTGTCAGAGGCATTACGACAGAGCTGTGAAAACAAACAAACAAACAAATAAACAAACATGTTTTTATTACACAGGGAGGCAATCAGACAGGCAGATGTGGGTTTGAGGCCTTTACTTGCTGAGTGGAGGAAAAACTGTCAAATACTTGATACCTATGATACGTCACAGGCATCTGGGATAGTAACCTGTTGCTATTAGGTGCCATCAAATCAGTTTTGATTCAGCCAACTTCCAAACTCACTGCCATCGAGTCAATTCTAACTCCCAGTGACCCTAGAGGACAGAGTAGAAGTGCCCCTCTGGGTTCCTGAGACTGCAACTCATTATGGAACGAGAAAGCCTCGTCTTTCTCCTGTGCAGTGCCCGGTGGTTTCACCTTGCTGGTCTTGGCTGGTGCTGATCTTGTGGTTAGCAGGCCAGTGCACACCCCACTCTGCCAGCAGGGCTCCTTTTTGATTCCTTGTGGCTCCATATTCACTACATTGCTAATATGTTTAAATATGAAACTGTACTGAAATGCTAAATATTCATAAAATGTTTTATATCAGTCTAAGTGTGTGACAAGTGAACAGGCCGAAGAGGAAGAACGCGGGAAGGGAAAGAACCAGTCAGTTTAGCACAGGCAAACTGAATTCACACGTGCTCCCTTCATAGGAATACATACAGAATATGCTGGAACAGTTCTTAGGTCACTGGTCTGGGTTTAGCTGCCAAGTTTCGTACAAGGGCAGTTTTTTTAAGATGCTTCTCTCTATTGCTTTAGGATTACTAAATATTTCTTGTATGTGGTAGTCTACTCTTCTCTACCTGAAATTCCACAAGGTTAGAAAATTTAAAAACGGTTAGGGGAGGAGGAGAAAAGGGATCAGAGAAATTTACTTTGCCAAAATGGAAAGAAGGTGGACAATAGGAATGGAGAGCTAGAAGAAGAAAAAAGGAAGTGAAAAATGTAGACTTATCAGATAGGGGAGTTCAGAGACATGGAATATATGGAAATAAAGTCAGAGAAGTACTCTGATAACCTATACTCAGCATCCTATCTTTATCATGACTGATAAAGAAGACAAAGGGGGTTCTGACGGTTCCAGAGATATTATTTATGGTCCTGGAAAATGTGGGCCTTTTAGAACTTAGTAGGCTCTCCTAGGGGATGGTGCTTTTATGCTTTCTAAGTTGTCAGACCGGGTGGTGTATCACTCCGCTGTGCATAAGGTCCCTCTGTGCTGGAACCAACTCAAGGACACCTAACAACAAGCTGCTAGTGTTTCCCTATCTGCCCAAAGTCTCAAGGACACAGCTTCGGAGCATGAGTTGAGCAGTCAGAGATTTGTGATGGTTTGGGGTAAATAATTAAATGTGTTAAACCAAGACAAACTATTACCTAAGCAGGGTATACAGATGTCTCTATCTATGGGAGGGTTAAGACCTTGAACAGGTCTTAAGCGGATTTTCTTAACCATGCCATCTGATGGCCCAACAGTTGAGAGTTTGACTGCTAAACAAAAGGTCAGTGGTTTAGACCCACCAGCATGCTCTGCAGGAAAAAAACAAAACAAGACCTAGTGGTGTGGTCCTAGAAAGATTACAGCTTAGGAAAGCCTATAGGGCAGAGTTGGAATTGACTAAAAGGCACACAACAATAACAACAACAACAACCTTGTGTTCCCGAGTATATGGTCATGGTAACCTGGGATGATTTTGCAGGTTAGCAGGCAGACTGTTGTTGGAACCTCAGTTAGACATCTAAATGAACGACTCTTGAAGGCATCATGTTTTGGTCCATCATATTTCCCCCACAAGCAGCAGCTATGATTTTAGTTACATAATGTTATGTGTGCAGAACAGGGAGCAAAATGATTGTACCCCAAATTCTTAACCTTCCGCTATTTTCATAGGAAATGTGGCTTTTAATTTAAAAGTGCTACAGCTGAACAGCAAAAATCAAAATAAGGCCTTCTTTGAGTTTTTGATATGTTTCTAAATATGAAATAGTTTATAAAATGGGCAGTCTTACTTGGTGTCACAGGTGTGGTGGTGGGCCTGGCCCTGTGAGCCAGTTACCCAGATTCTCACTCCAGTTGTCCAGCAGAACCAACTCCCGGCTGTGTGCGCCTGAAGCGACACCACCTTTCCGGCACTCAGTTGACAACGCACATGCAGATGATCTGCTTACGGGGACCTCTGCTACTAATTGAAGCTGTCCAAAGAGAATGCAGGAAATGACATCAGTTGCATTAACTGAAAAGGGCAAAATGGACTCTCCCTACCCAAACTCTAGCCTCACTTCACTGCCATCATCAATTTGGTTCTGACTCTCAACCATCCTACAGGGCAGGGTAGAACGGCCAGATGGTTTCCGACTGTAGCCCTTGCAGCTAGCAGCCCAATGCATATCCCCTACGTCAGCCAAGCCGAAAATCCAAACTCACTGCCATCGAGTGGATGCCGACTCATGTAGACCCTAATGCGCAGGATAGAACTAACCCTGTGAGTCTCTGAGACTATATCTTTTTAGGAGGCTAGAAAGCCCTGTCTTTCCCCCACGGAGAGGCTGGTAGTTTCGAACTAAGCAACAAGGCTCCTTAAAACTCTGGCAGGCATGCCATGTGGGAAAAAGGGTAAGATGAAATCCTCATTTTTTATGTAGATGCCATGATTATTTTCCTTCTTGATATTATAATCTGAAATATTCTCTGTGACATGGGCAGGCTGTTTCGTTTAAGTCGAAATGATCTCGTAGGGAAACTCTATGGTTGGATCAGAGAGAAAGGAACTAACAGTCACCATCTATACGATAGACCAGGGTTTGTATGTTTTCTGTGGACATGCTCTCTTCAGTTTTCATGTGACCTATTTTCGGCTACATATGTGGAATTTCTCAGCAGAACTGTAATCTCATTGTACGTGCTGTCTCCTCCTCTACATGGTGTCCCGTCTGCTAGTACGTGTCATTGCTTTGTTTGCCCACTTCCAGGAAAAATAAAACCAAAAAAGCAAAAAAAACTTTCCTGGAGAAAATGTAAGACACTTGGCAAGCGCCCTCTTGTGAGAAGAACTAGAACTGCAGGCACTCAGGTCCTTCTTAGGGGATGGTGGGAACTTTTGATGCCTAGCTCGGGTTTCTATATAACTTCCGATCCTCAGATCAGCGCCGTCACTATTGCTGGTGTCACCCAGGGTGGTAACTCATGGGATCATCTCCCCACCCCCTGGGCCTCTTCCCATACCAAACCATACGAATTTTTTAAATCAATTTTAGCCATAGCACAAGATGTTAAAATTGATAAATTCTGTATGGCTAAGTTGTAAATTGCTTAAATGCAATATTTCTTAGATTCTTTGACAACTACCAACAACATTGTCTTATAAAATCTTGCTACGTGGAATTACAACAATATTAGTTATAAATTAACAGTAGCTGAGGAGAAGCCTTTAATTTTTTCCCCTTCGTCTTTCATTAGTACTTCATTCTGAGAAAAGTTATTGATCTAGGTTCAAAAATACTAGTAACCACAATATTGTGACTAAAACACCGGAACATTGGGGGGGAGGGGTGAAATCAGCACCTATGAAAACACTGGCAACAACCCAACAGCAGCGCCATGCAGATGAAACCACGTGATTCTGAGCATCATTGTAATTGGGTAATAAAGCTAGCTGTGACTATAGCACATTCCAAAGTGGGGGTGGATGAAACCCACTGCCACCGGGTCTGTTCTGACTCACCATGACCCTGTAGGGCAGGGTAGAACTGCCCCTGTGGGTTTCAGAGCCTGGAGTTCTCTAGGGCAGTAGAAAGCCTCATCTTTTTTTCTGTGGAATGGCTTGTGGTTTCAAACTGCTGACCTCATGGCCCACCTAACCAGAAGGTTTAAAAAGTAAATGGACATAAAATTTTAGCTTTGCAGGTATATTAGTTCATGGAAGCTGGGCTTACGAAATGTTTTTATTGTGATAACGAGCTACAGGTGTATTTGTATGCAAAATCATAAATGTCTGCCAAAACATTGCACCTTTTTATAGCCATTTTGGCATCCCTTCTATCACAGTGTCACCCAGTACAGACTGCACCCCGTTCATCCTCTAATCAATATTATGTATCATCCTACATCTTTTCTATTTCTATAGGTTATAGAAGAAAGTAACTCCTGGTCAAAAAGATCATTAGTTTGCATGATATGTTTCTAGATTTTTCTATACATATTTATAGACACGCATGATTTACAAAACCAGCCATTTTTATCCCTCCCGAGTATGAGTATGTCTGAATGTTTTTCCACATTAACAAATATTTTCCCATATTATCTTTTGTGAATTAGTCCACAAGATTTCTCCATGTTTCTAACATTTAATCTCCCAGTTTTCTTATAATGACACTCATTTAAGCTTATTCTTTAACACAAGAAACTTTCGAAAATGGGAAAAAATGTGGTGTACAAATTTAAAATGCCCTTTCTCTCCATCTCCCCTTACATCTCCAGTTAATAATTAGCACGTGTATTTCTAGATTTTTCTTGCATACATCAAACTAATGCACACACATCGTTTTCTCCTAAAACACAGGATGTTGTGGTACAGGCCATTCTGCAACTTTTCTATTTTAACAGTTTACACTGAAAATCTTTTCTTGTTACATTTAAAGTTAGCTCATTGTGGACATCCTTTAATACATGGCATCCATTATACACCTTAAACATTGTTGTTCAAATGTACATACACATTCAAATAAAGATCTTCTGCTTAAAGTCTGAATCTGGACTTTGGATTGCAAAGAAAGCACAACCAGCCAGCTTTCTCTAATGGACAGAAGTATCCACCTTTAGCTAAAGACAACAGGCTGTACGTGTGTACATCTGTTTAAATGTCTGTAGCAAAATTGATTGCTCTTTCCCAGCTTCAATATGTTTTCTTTAAAAAGGTGAAATCTACACAAAAGCTAAAGCCCCAAATTCATATTATATCAGCAAGCCAACCCAAGTCCTTCATTGCTTGCTTTTGAGTCTAAAATCCCTCTTTCCCCCTGATCAAAATGACAGTTTGAAATTATATGTACTCACCAACACATTACCATTTCTTCTCATGTTCACACACGATTACACCATTTGGGGGATGGAAGCTTTTTCCGTATGATTTCAAATGATTGTCTGTTATACTAACATGGGTACTACATGCTAAGTGATACCTGGGAGAAATAGGTGGAATGTTCCTCTTTTTATCCCATGACCCTTTCTCCAGGCACCTTTTATTACTAGACATATTGCTCTGTGTTTTTTTATTTTAATCTGTTTCTTATTCTTTAGTTTATAATCTTTCAAATATTTCTCATATTACAGTGCACTCCATTGATAGACAGATAGGTGAGTGAGCACAACTCTTCTACATCAAGGGGAAAAAAGGCAATTCTGGAAAAGACACTGATTATCCCCTGACAAACAGCCAAACTCCTAATTCTCAGAGGTGGTCTGTTACTTCAGGTCATTGCTACACAAACTCCATCAAGACAGGGAGATTTGTTAGAAACACAATCAGACCCATCAAAGTAATATAAAAACCCAACACCCCCGCAATGAACAACTTCAATTTCCATTTAGAATGAGTGAAAACAACCCACCCACCACCACTTCCTTCCCCAAATAAGCACAGCACATTTCCCACGTTTTGTTTTACCATCTCTCTCAGCCACCATTGCTTTCAAGATGAGACATTAAATGCCCTATTCAAAAGTCAGCGTGTGCAAAGCTACGGAAGCATTTTCCGCAGGTGTAATCTAATTACCACTTTCCTTACTATGGACTTTTTTTTTTTAACATCTCTGCAGATATACATAATCCAGGTATTAATTTTTGCATCATGACAACATCTCCCACAGACCGACACTGCTTCCCCCCATTTCCAAACAGTCATCCAGGCTTTACCTTTACCCCCAAGCCTCAAGAAATCTCCGAAAATAACTGCCTTTTATGACAGCCATTACCTCCAAGCTGTCTCTCCTCAGCGGAAGCCTAGACGCCTGAAATGCTGCTCCTCCCCCAGACTGGCCAGGCTCCGCTCGCTTCCAAGCTTCCAGAGGATGCTCCGCCCCTCCCTGTGATGGGGAAAGCAGGAGGGCCTTTGCCTTGTTTTGAGGCAGCAGAGACGCGAATTCCAGCCGAAAACCAGTTACAGGGAGGAAACGTTCCTTTTCCAGAACTTTAAAGGGCAATGGCGACGTAGGCCCTTTCAATTCCCATTCAAACCCCTACGGTGGGTGAGTTTCTGGAAAAACAACAGAAAAAGAGGCCCCAAATCCCTTTATCATGCAATAAAAATTCAACTAGACATATTCCTTCCTTCCCCATTCCCACCCCCTTTCCTTCTCTGGTACCTTATCTCTGGTGAATGAAAACCCTCCTGGGTAAGCTGCATTTGAAAAGCAGGCAGGGGGTTAACACTGGATTTCAGGAGAATTTGTTCTTTACCATTTTGATTCTAAGGGAGGGCATTATAACCCTCTCCTTTTATTCAGCTCTTCCTGAGACTTCCTTTCCTAAATTCATTTCTACAAATAAACAGATCCTCAGGCAAAATCTGATTACACTGAAATTGAAAAAGAAATCACCTGTAAAATCACCATCAACCAAAATCATTAAACATCAGTCACACATTTGGAAGTGCTTTCCCATGCATATGAGTGAATAAACAAAAGTCTACCTAAACTTGCCATTATATGCCAATAACAATATAGAAAAGGATCTTTGAAAAGTTCAAAGGACACAGCAGACAATTCACAATTTTTTCCCACGACTTCTGATATTTATTTTCTTGGAAAGGCAGTTCAACTAGGGCAGCATTCTGTACTTTCTGCTTACTTCCAAATGAAAGAGACGGTTCTCAGAGCTGATGGGTAGTTTTTCTTAAGCTGGGGGCTCTGTTGTTCTGATCTCTCTCTCACAGTAAGTAATATCCTGAGATTTATCTTTTCCTAGTAATAAAACCAACATTCTGGTTTTCATCTTTGACTACTCACTAGATTCTATAGTAATTTGTTCAGTGTTTTCAAAGTATGCTCACTTAGAAGGTGAACGTTTGTGTACCTTCTAAATCGACTCAATATGTACAAAGCAAAAAAAAAAAGGGAGAAAATGCATCATTCACATTGCCGGGTGCTGCCAAGTATTCTGATTAATAAATAGGCAGTTCCCGCTTTTGTAACAGAGGAGAACAGGGCTTTCTAAGTTGTAATGCTTTCAGGGGATCAACAGGTCTTTCTTCTGCAGAACCAGAGGATGGTTTTGAATCATCAACCTTGAGGTTAGCAGCCAAGGACTTAACTATTTGCACCACTGGGGTTCCTAGAACATTAGTAGGTAAGTAAAGACAAAAACTCTAACCGAAGTGGGGGGTGGGGGAAGACTCTAAAAAGCTCTTTTTGAGACTTTCCTCACAAACTATTTTATTCATTTTTGGCTTTAATGATATGACTTTCAGTAGGCTCTTATATAATTTCAAGCCAAGGCTTCTTTATAAAGACAGTTCCTGTTTATGAGAATCTCTAAAGTTGTGGAGCGAATGTGTGTCAAGGACAGAATACTAAGAACCATTGCTCACTGAAGCCTTATCAACACCAAGAACTGAGACACTTTGTCCTTTAAAAGCATGGGACCGTGCGAAACCTTGCTGTCCTGAACAAAAAGATTCTGTTTCAAGAGGCTGCATTTTATTGTTGCTGATATTATTTGTATTTTCTTTGGTATTTAAAAAGAAACAAAAAGTCATGGAGGCTGGATAAACCCTGAAACGATTGCCCTGAGATAATCTTGAAACCTGAAACCAAAACTATCCCTGGGGTCTTTTTAAAATCAAAAACTAATTTAGCTTAACTAGTGAAACATGACGACCTTGATTTTTATGCTCTTTTAAGAACCATATTTGTGGGATCCGATTGATCAGAGCAACTCAAAAGGAAGATTAGACAGGAACCTTAGTGGGCGGTACATTTATGTCAGAGGGAGATGAACAGCACAGAGCAGGACGTTGAGAATGGTTGTACAGCTCAAAGAATGTAATCGACATCACTGAGCTGTACATACAAACCCAAATAGAACTTACCACCGCCGAGTCCATGCTGACCCATAGCCACCTCCTGCGGGTTTCCAAGAGTATAACTGTTTAAGGGAGTAGAAAGCCCAGCTTTCTCCCACAGAGCTGCTTCTGGTTTTGAACTGTTTACCATGCTGCTGGCAACCCAACCACTACACCGCCAGGGCTCCTGAATTGTACATATAACAACAATATTCTCAACAAACCAAAAAGCCAAACCCGTTGCTTCTGGGCTAATGGTGACTCATAGATACTCAACAGGCTAGACTAGAACTGCCCCAGAGGGTTTCGGAGGCTGCAAATCATTAGGGAAGCCGTAGTTCCCTTGCTCTTAGGGAACGAATGACAGGTGGGTTTGAATCGCTGGCTTTTCTGTTAACAGCCAAGCGCTTAATTACTGCACCACTAGAGCTCCTTATACCCTCAATAAGAAACAAAATGGCAAATGCTTTAAAAGTGGAAAATAAAGATATAAACATAAAATATTAAAAATGCTAGATATTGGTGAGCATGAGGGACTCTTGGAGACTCAAGGAGTACATTGTTGACAGGAGCGTCAATTGCATTAAATGTTTTGGAAAACAGTTTGGCATTGTTCCTTCACAGTGAAACACAAAGGGGTTAATCATACAGGTTTACCAGCACCATTCGAGGCTTGAGGCATTCAAGTGGCACTAGTGCAATGGTCTCCACAGACAGTGTGTTTCATCCTATCCAGTGGGTCAGGAGAGGTAAATATTCAAGATGCAATTTTCTTTTTATTTTGATTTCCCTTATGAGCTCCTACTATTGAATATGTTTTAAATGCACATAAGAAATTATTAGTACTCTAGTATATTATATACATTGTAAAAATAGGTGACTCTTGGTGGGTGCATGGTCAACCATTTTATACAGTGGTGATTATAATAAGTACGAATATGTGGAGATCTCTGCTATGTAAGACCCACGGTCACAGAGCCTTCCCACTAGACTTCTCCCTGATGTCCATGATTTGAGATTATAGCCTCATAAAAGACTAATTAATCTGAACTTCTTAGATTTCCTATGTACTGATTCTGTTGGTTGGAGAAGTTAACCTTATTCCCACTAAACACTTAAAATAATGAGAAATTGAATTAGGACAGGTCATATTTTCCCCCAAATGATTGGTTCTTGGTAACTTCACACGATGCTAAAAAATCTTCAGACTTGCAGTGATTCTAGTTGGACTATGAGAGTTTGGGATGTATGAGGGTAGCAAAATTTCAAAACTAACAATGATTGTATTGTTCTTTAATGCCAGTTCAATTTAATTTCTAAGTTTTCTAGTTGATTTTGAGTCCTCTAAAATAATTAGTTAATGTGTTTTTTTTGGAGACCCAGAAATTTTTAAGCAAATCAGAACTTATAAACATAGAGCATCAAGCACACTAAGTATCAATGTAATCATTTTATTTAGATTCTTGCTCATGATACAGTTCTACTTAAAATGGTAAAATGAATATGGAAAATTAATCATCTTTAGGACTTTGAAAAAATTAATTAGATTTTAAAGCTCAATTTAAACCTTTTTATAACATGGATTTATGTATTTCTATCTGGGTCTGTAAGTTCAAAATGTACATCTGATGGTTATTGATTTGAATAAATAAGAGCAACTTAAAAATTAAAGAAAATAGAAGATTGAAAAACTAAAAATTTAGGGAGACGATATCAAGGGGTCCAGGAAACAAAATAATGTTTTGAAAATGATTATGGTAACAATTGTACAATTCTGCTTGACGTAATTGAATTATGGTATGATATGATATATGTATTACCTTCCAATAATAAATTCAAAAATAAAAATTTTAAAAACCTAAAAATTTTAATGATCTTAGAATATACAACCCCCCCCCCAAAAAGAATATATCATTTTCCCCACAAGGTGATTAAATGGCTTTACTATTTATATCTTATATATTCTATCCAGATAGCAAGCACTTTCATATGCCTCAGCTGGATGCAAATTTTCCATAGTTAACTTTTATCTCTTTATGCTATGTCATATCATGCTTGTAGAGTTATAGATTGCCCATTTCAAGAAGAGTTCCACATTTTGTTTATCATCATGCTTCTTTCTGCTATGTTTATTTTAAATATTGTGTTGTTGGTATGGTTAACAAGTAAGCCCAAGATAATTTTAAGTGAGTGGTCAGTTTTTCCTTTTTTTAAATTTTCTTCCACACATCAGACCCTAAATGTAGAATACTAACCCAAATTGTCTTAATTACTTTCTAGGTGGATAGAAGGTAGTGTAAAGGAGGGATGCAAATTGTACTTAAGTATATTTGGTGCCGAGACATTTGACAGCATTGTTCATAACAAACTATGGATAACCTGAGAAGCCAGGGAATTCCAGAACCCTTCAGTGTGCTCATGTGGAACTTGTACATGGATCGAGGCAGTTGTGCGAAAAGAACAAGGGACTACTTCAGGGTGTATGTCAGGGTTGTATCCTTTCACCATACTTATTCAATCTGTACGTTGAGAACATAATTAAAGAAGCTGGACTATATACGAGTATAGTTATGTGTTTTTCTTTTTTTCTAGATTAAAAAAAAATATATGAAATCTAGGATAGGTAAATTTATAGACAGTAACTGGATGAAAGGTTCCTGGAGGGTACAGCATGGGAAGTTGAGGGGAAATGGGGAGCTGACAATGAGTACACACATGAAGAAACTTTTATAAAACTATGGTGATGATTATACAACTCTTTTGAATATTATTAAATCATTGAATTGTGTGCTATGTGAATTGTATGCCAATAAAATTGTTGAAAAAATAATCAGAGAAGCTGGATTATATGAAGAAGAATGTCGCATTAGGATTGGAGGAAGGCTTAGCAACCTACAATATGCAGGTAGCACAACCCTGCTTACTAAAATCACTTCTTGATGAAGATCCAGGATTGTGGCCTTCAGTATGGATTATGACTCAATGTGAAGAAGACCAAAATCC